ATATTTAGAAATATTCTAATTCGTTTTAAATTTTTTATAAAATGTTTAATTCATTATTGGCACAATTCATAAAAAACCTGATAACTCAAAAACTACAAATAAAAACCTAAATCTTTGTAAAGTACAATAAACTTGGCTATAATCTACATATAATTCAATAAATAAAAAAACATAAAATTACCTAAAAGTAAAGTAAAATCACATTTGAATATTTCCAAAAACTTTAAACCTCAGTACCCAAAAACGTATCATTTTGAAATGTTCCATTACTGTTTCTGACCGACGATTTTAATACTAACAAACCTCGCAAAGACGATTAAAAACCCGCAAAATAAATAGTCACCTATTAATTTAGGCTATAGTATAATTTACACTAACTTTTCTCATCACCAATCCAAATATCACTTGGATTTAGGAAAACAACATTAAATCTGTAAGTACTTACTTAAAAATACATGTTTTCTTTGAAAGTGGGAACTTGATATTTTATTAAAAGTTTTCTACCCCATAATATATCCCCAAGCAGTCACCGGTGACCGCTCTCCCCTAACTACATTATAGACATTATTTCCAATGTATAGAGACTACTTTTGTATGAACAAATTTAGGGCATGATTTTCGACGGGGTATTTACATACTATGTTAGAAGTTACTTGATCTTCCGTATAAAAGGGTTAAAAGTGTGTGTGTTAGAGAGAAAGAGAGATAAAGATGACGTCAGCAATAAATGTTGTTGTATGTATGAGACACCATCTAGAATGCATTGTCTCGTGTAGATCTCGGTATCAACTGTATATCACGCCAAAGCATTCTTTTAAAAATATATTCAATGTAGAGTATTCACTTTCCTACGATTTTATTATATGTATAGATTAATCTAAAACCTTTGTATTTAAGCTCTGTAATTCATGTTTGTTAATAGTATTTACCCGAAATATTCTGGCGAGCGACTCGTGAGGACTACTGCAGAGCGACGCAAATTGTCCGCAAGGTGGATGACGTCATCAGCGGCGTGGTCTTCATATCCTTCGCTAATAACCTCTTCTTTATCTGCCTGCAGCTGTTCAATACTTTAGAGTATGTATTACTGATATTATGTGCTTTAAAATCTCATTGTTACTGAGTAAGAAGTCTCGAATCCAAAACCAGGGGTCAACTTTTTAGACATTGTTTCTTGTGATTAGCCCAGATATTTTAATGAAATTGTGCCAGTGTAGCAATTTGCTATTCATCTGTTATGGTGAAAACATAACATCATAACATCAAGCCTTTTATCCCCGAGGGGGTAGGCAGAGGTGCACATTATGTCACTGTACGATGTAACACCCACTTTTCACTATTTATGTTATGAGTCCCATGTAATAGTGGGTGAGTCTATTGCCATATTCATACGGGCACATTTCCAGACTCCGTGCTACTACTGAGATTTTTTTTTAAAAAACCCAGTAAAATTTTCCCTGACCCGGGAATCGAACCCGCGACCCGTTGCCCGGCAGTCGCACTTGCGACTACTCGGCCAACGAGGCAGTCAGTATGGTGAAAACTGGGTACATAAATAACTATATGCATCTCTGCTTAGCCTGTTAGTATATTACACAACGAAATATCTACTTTATAAACATTCTTTGCTTTCAGGGACGGCTTGAAGGGGACAGGAGAATGCAGTAATAAGGGGAAAAAGTAAGTTTAAACATTTTTTACTTTAGTAGCCTATGTGCGGATAAGAAAACACAAATACCTAGACACCTAATTTTCTGAATAGCCAAACAATCCGTTCTTAACTCGTCGAGTACCGTCATTATAGACACAATTATAGAACAATAGGTTGCGGTCACCGGTGACCGCTTGGTGTTTGACACTTGTTTGTTTAATACAATTAAAGTCTAAATATACCAGAGAAAACGAATGATTGTTTATAACTAAGTATCAGTATTTCATAATTAAGCCTTTGACTACTGACAGAACACTACTTTTTTTTCTTATATTTTCTGCAACTTGGCAATCTGTGATCATTCACAATGAGCCATTCAGTTGTGGTCCACGTCACCAGTCTTTGGTCTTTCAGTAGGAAAGTTTTGTTTTCCTCTCATAAGCTGTCGAACCTCGTAGCAAGGGTAGGAACGCTATGGTGTTTGAGTCTGGAAAACTACTGAAGGCAAATCCTACAATAACGTAGGTCACCGGTGACTTACGTGGCTGGTAACGTGTTAATAGATTTATTTTTCACTAGACAATTTTGGTGTGAATAATCTACTAAATATTTTTTTAATTCTCTGCACTTGACGGTTGACTGTCAGAGAATGCCCTAAGGCATTAAGTCCGCCATGCAATTTCATCTATTATAAAGAAAAAAAAATTTTACAGAATTACCCCTTCATATTCTAGAATCATCGTCTCCAAGAACGGTCCTCTAGGTGGCCATGAAGCAGCGACATACTTCCTCTTCTCCCTCGTTTACCTCCTGTCACGATCAGTAGCAGTGTCCCTGATAGCGTCACAAGTGAACAGCGCGTCTGCTGTACCGGCTCCCGTGCTGTATGATGTGCCTTCTCCTGTGTACTGTGTTGAGGTAAGAAGGAAATTTTAAAATACACCAGGAACCCTAAAACAGTAGTAGTAACAGTAGTATCCCCAAAAGTAGGTACAGAAGTAGGTAGGCTCGCTGAAATTCCCAGGCCTGTCAATTGTGTGAATCATAGCAATCTTCTTTACCTCTCAAAGAGGAGGCCTTGGTTCAGCAGTGGACATCACCAGGCTGGTGGTGACGATAAAATAGATAACAATAATAAATCTTCACACAATATTTTCTTTTCCCATGATAATAAGCAATCAGGTGGTCCTGATTGATCATAGACAGCCGCAACACAGTTCCATAATAAAACCTAGTTTGTTTTCCAGGTACAAAGGTTCTTGGATCAGGTCAACGGTGATAAAGTAGCACTGAGTGGTCTGCAGTTCTTCTCTGTAACCAAAGGATTACTTTTAACTGTAAGATACTTTTCATTCTTTTATCTATTTCGTAAAATTGTATATATGTTGTATTTGATCTAATTTATCTGTTTGTTATTTAAGATACATTCTAACAGAAATAATATTTTAACTCATGTACTAATTTATGCTCAAAACTTTTTATAACTTCACTATACCCGCGGCTTCGCTCGCGTCACAAAAGGATAAAAAGTAGCCTATGTGATATATACCAATACACACAGAGTTTTCCCTAGGGAATATCAAAATTTTTCGGGATAAAAACTACCCTATTATTTAATCCGGACTTCGAACTTTAAGACTGCAAAAATTCAAAACAATCGGTTTAGTAGTTACTGTGTGAAAGCGGAACAAACAAACAAACAAACAAACAAACTCACTTTCCGATTTATAATATTAGTAAGGATTAAACAGTAGTGGCCCTAATACCTTGTGGAATACCCACTTTAACCTCTCTATAAGCGGATGAGTGTTGTTTCTCTATTCTTAAATTTGCGTTTAAACGGCTTATTCTGGTGCATTGTTTTCGACCATCAAGATACGATTTGACAAGATTAAGTACATTTCCTCTCACGCCGCATGCTTGTAGTTTATTAAGAAGAATTTGATGATCTACACAATCAAATGCCTTTGAGAGATCCATATAAAGCGCACAAACGGGTGTCTTCTTATCAACGTAGGTAATAATCTTTTCGAGGAAATTATAAATTGCAGCATTTATGCATTTATTCTTCCTAAAACCATATTGCTCTTTGGAAAGTATGTTATGCTTCTCAAAGAAAGTGTAAAGTCTGTCATGTATAACCTTCTCAAAGATCTTAGAGATAGTGGGAATCAACGCAATGGGTCTATAACAGGTCATTGATGACTTATCATCTTTCTTAAAAAGAGGTTTTATAATTGTTATTTTTATAATAATTAATATAATTCAAACTATTTTTTTTTTAAAGTTTAGCGATGCAGATTCTTCCTCGTTCTTCTCCATTCGAAACTACACTTTGGAACGAGCGCGTCACTGACAATTCGAAAGTGTCTAATTAAAGATTAATAGAAGTAAATGCTTTGACTTTGATTTTGACTAGAAGAGTAGAAACTAAAAAGTTGTTGGATAAATTAAAAACACACAATAGCAATCTGAAATTGACAGTAATAATATTGTTTTGTCCACAGGTGGCCGGGACAATAGTGACGTACGAACTAGTAATGTTCCAGTTCAACTCTTCGACTCCTACGCTGAATATCACTGCTCCTACTGTTCTAACTCCTTCTTCATCTTCTCTTACTACACTCTCTTCTTGAAAATTGTCTTTTATTTATTATACCTTCCATTTTCACCAAATCGAAGGTGAAGATAAGTGTGCGAAAGTACATAATTAGATACATACATACATACCTACACCTGGAACAATTCAAGACTATGATACCTATTACTGAGAAATTCGTAAAAAACCGAAAAGTGCTTAAACTTGAGTGTGTGCGGAGATTTTGCACAACTTGATTCCTCCTAGTCCTTTCCAACATCGTACCACAAGACAATCGGCGAAGTGTCACCGATTCATGGTAAATATTCCACCCACACGCAGGAAGCGCTTCGGATCAAGCTTCCTTGTGCGTCAGTACGCAGTGGAATTCTTTGCCAGAGTCTGTATTTCTTGAAGGGTATAACCTGGAAGTCTTCAAGGCCCGAGTAAATATGTTGCTTATAGAACGACGTGCTCTATCGTAGACCGCATCATCGCTTACCACCAGGCGAGATAGTGGTCAAACGTCGGCCCATAAAATATAGAATAGAAGTGTGGGAGAGCCATGCTTCGGCACGAATGGGCCGGCTCGACCGGAGTGATGCCACGGCCTCACAGAAAACGGACGTGAAACAATGCTTGCGTTGTGTTTCGTCGTGTGAGTGAGGATACCGGAGACCCTCCCCTTCCCAAATCTCCCGAATTCCTGAATCCCCAACGATCCTCAAACTCCTAATCCCCAATAGGCCGATAACGCACTTGTAACGCCTTTGGTGTTCCAGGTGTCCATGAGCGACGCCGATCGCTTACCATCAGGTGATCCGTCTGCTCGTTTACCGGCTTATGCCATAAAAAAAATATTTAAAAAATTACATCCAACCGAATCAAATTCGAAATCAATCCAAACTTCTTGCTTGCAGTTTTAAAAAGGTACTTTTATCGGTTACCATCACCAGTCAACTCTAAAAGGAAAGCCTAAATAATTTTATTCAAAACATACAATAGGGATGATGACAGGACATGAAAATTAAAAATCTAATTAGTCCGTCAGTTAACGAAACAATATTAGACACGTTTTTTTATTCTGTTGTATAAGAAACCAATACTTGGATAAAACGAATCAAAGTTTAGGAGTGGGAGGTAGCTACGTCATTTTAGAGTAGAAATTGTACTCAAAAGTGACGTCATGCGATATTTCAAATCAATATATTATCTTGGAAACTATTCGTCTCCGTAAGAAAAAAAAAATACGTGTTTAATGTTTTTAAATAATCTACCAGACGGACATTAAAATAAAAATTAGTCATCTACCATATTGTACAGTCAGCAGTTTTTCTAAAAAACGCCGAACATAAAGTATTCTAATATAATATTCATACCGCAATACAAATTGAAACTATACAGTCTGTAACAACAGGTGGCCTCATCCAGGTGATTTATTCCCCAGTCATAACTTCACAAGTACCAGGTATTCATAAAGCGAGGGAGTTATCTTCAAATTATTTATAGGCCACCATTACGATCTAAAATGCCTGGCTTTCTTTATGAAACTTAGATTATTGTAATTTTTTTCGGTCGTAAAGTTCTAGCAGTATTATGTAATAGTCTTTATTACTGGGTTTTTGAAGAATGAATGAGATGATATTTTGTGGTTTTTGTGTACAAATATTTATAAAGAACTTAAGTAGGTAGGTATTTTTTCGTGTTAGTTATTTTGTATTCAGGCATAAGGCTACAGATTTTGTAGGTACATAAGAGTCCACCAACCAAGAGTCTATACTTTTGACAGAGAGTAGCACTGCCGTGGGCCTTGGTATAACTAAAATGCCGTTATCCAACCGACCGACCCAAAAGTACAAATCGGAAAAAGTCACATTAGTACTTGCCGTTGGTAGGCCTCGAATCCGTACGCTCATGCGTGAGAAGCGGGCGTCATAAACCTCCTGGCTACCGCGACATTGTAATATTGGTAATTATTATTATACCAAACCCAAATTACTCAGGTCTACACAATGACTAATATCAAATAACTCAATAACAGTTCTCACGATATCAAACCTTACCGTTTCATATTTAGGAACAATACTGCACTGAGAGTATGTACTAACAATTCATTTTCCGAGTGGAGCTGCGAACGGCTACTATGTACTAATTGCTTGGTGCTCGGGATCCGAACCAGTTTAAAATAGTTGCGAGGTGTAATTATTATCACAGGTATCAATAACAGATACATTGACATAACATTTATATGTTAAGACTTGTCATTGGCTGTCAGACTCTCACACAATTTCTTAATTTTTGTTTTGTTAGCTGTTAGTCTTTCAAAGTTGTTAAATAAATAAATAACATAACACCAAGCCTTTAACCCCCAAGGAGTAGGCATTACGGGCCTTAATGCCACTGTACAATGTAACACCCACTTTTCACTATTTATGTTATGAGTCCCATGTCCAATTCCAAGCCCCGTGCTATTACTGAGAATTTTTAAAAATTTCCGTAATCCATACTTGGGTATAGCGGGTATTAATCGTGGAAATTAAACTTTCTATGCCATTATAATAATAATTGCTCTCGCGGATATAAAAACAGTCAAATATCGCACAGTAAAATGTTGATCCCGTATATACATCACAATCACAGTATCACTGCGCAAATTACAACCTTCTACGTCATTGTCTGTTATCGTATGCATCAAATATACCGAAGAGTAGCATGGTATCTGTTCTCAATATCTGTTATTTATTAGCAACTGTGATTTTTGTGATACAGTAACTGGAATAACAGGTATCGTAATGTATCTGTTAGAACCCAAGTACAGTTTAAGAGTAAAGAATGCTTTAGTCCCGGTCTCCCGGATCTAGAAAGAGGTTTAACCGGGCTAACCGACTTTATTTGTTCAATTAAAATGGCGTGCTCGCCGCACTTGTAAAGGAAAGTGTTCAGTGCTTCTTGGCTGAAGATTTTATCAGGATTTCAGTTTCGTTTAAAAGATAATTTTAAATTCGTTTTCTCACAGTTCGTATTGAGTTAGGGACTTTTTGATTTAGCAAGGGAAAATCAAAAGAAACTTTGGCTCACATCCCTTCCGTCCTACTGTGAACTAATTACATAACTGAAGAAAAATGTATGCCATGAAAAACCTTGATGTAAAGTAATGTCATTTCCATATAATTAGGCTTTAATTAAAGCACTAACTTTATACACGCCCATTTCTGTAGGCACGCAGAATCTTAAAAAATATAGCACCCTCTACTACTCGTAACCTTAAAACAACACCCTAAGATTTCAAACTCAGCTACAGCAAACTCAACCTTAAGTTGTGCAGTATAAGATATAAAAAGTTAGCTTAGACCTCAAAGACAAAGAATTTTTATTTTCATTGTAACCGTCTTCAAATTTAGGCAAAGGCGTTCTTTGTTTTATGACATTCCTGTGTAATGCTCGAATACTTTTACCTTGCCATATTAAAGCCTTGTATTCACTAGGCAACATTTGATGCGCGACATGTTGCACAACATGTGGCTCAACGTTTCGAGCAACGTGGAGCTGTTGTTAAGTAACGAACGTTGCAATTTCACTTAAAAGTCAAAAGTCAAAAGTCAAAGCATTTATTTCAATTAAACCATAGTTTGGTACTTTTGAAACGTCAACAAATACAAAATAAATAATAGTCTGTCAGTCAGTCCATCAGTGAAATTAGGTGAAGCTAGATGCTCATTCCAAAATGTAGATTCGAATGGAGAAGAACGAGCAAGAAACTCCACTCGTTACTCTTTTTAAAAAAAGTATGTTCTACAATCAAACAATCACTATCAACAATTGTCGATAACATTGACATATCGCCAGAGAAAATAGTGTTCGTTTTAATGATACTCAAGTACTACACAGCACTGTCATTTGTGTGCATACATATATCAGTTTTCGAGAACATTTTAATCTGTTTTTATAATAACTATCGTGATAATAGCGAGCGCGACGTCGCCGCGACCGCGCACGCTGCTCATGAGGAAGACCCCCTCTGTGGTTCGAAACTAGTAGAGCTTTTCTCAGTATTTTCTTTTGAGTAACCCGCGTTTTTACTTAATTTAACATTTTAATATTTCAATTTTGTACCGAAACTACTAAACGTGAATTGTGTTGCGCGCCAACTGGCAACGTTGCGCAATATTTTGCAACAACACTGAATGTGTTGAGCGTCATGTGGTGCGATAATGTTGCCTAGTGTATACCAAGCTTTAAAGGCTGGGTGTGCGACAAAATAATACCGTTTTGTTTTATTAAAATTATGCCTAACGTGGAAAAGCTTTTGAAGGGTTCTCAATGTAAATATGGATGCCAGCGTTTATTGTAATTTCTGATTTTATTTTTCTTTGTTGTCAGCGATAAGTGATTCTGCTCAGGCTGTCTTAACAGTCAGGGCGTAGTCTCAGCAGTTATTTCTACTATTTAACATAATGTGCCATCACTAAACGATACCCGTGACTTCTTTTACGAATCAGTCCGAGAGTTATTAATTTTTCTTGGACACGTCTCTCTTTATTTTTTTCTCTACGGGGAGAAATTCATCGTATGACTTCTCCCACCTGGGTGAGGCGGGAGAGTGTGTCAGACTCTTACTGACTAAAAACCACCCTGTTCCTGCTCCTGCACTTCGAGCCGGAGCCCCGGTAACCCGTTAAGTTCTCCGCGGCTCCGTATCGGCATCAGCCCTATTGGGCCCCATCCGTGGTGGTCTGATGGCTCTTCGAGGAGCGCGTCAAACGCGATGCGCCGTAAGCTCGGGTCTAGTTGTAGTCGGGCGGCGAGCCACCCATGCTCGCCGTCCGCAGGCCCGTGCCCGGTGGCCCGAGATCGTCCCGCGATCCCCGACGCCCGGAGTGTCCTTCGCGACGGCTGGATTGTGAGGAGGCAGCGCAGCGCTTCGCTGCCCGATGCGCCATGACTGCTTCTCTTGGACACGTCTTATGTGATATTTCATATATCTGTGCCTTAAAACATTTAGCTTACAACTTTAAAAGTGCTTATTGTTACCGAGATATCAATAGAAATAAGATTTTC